GAGTCTTTTAATGTCGTCAGTGTGTATATGCGTCTGTTGTAGTTCTGCTGATTGATCATGTAAAGATGGACTTGAACACGCTGGAGGGCTGGCGTAGACCGTATTTAGAAGCATAGTTAATTAGTCGTATTCACACGCAACTGAGTTTATTCTGGAGGTGAACGGTTTATTTTGGTTCTTGCCTGATTCCACTCTGTGAGACACGGCCGACAGACCTATTGCAGGTGGATCGGCCAGGCGCTATTGTAAGGTCCGATTCTATACTTCAGAGCGGGAAGAAACGACATCGTAGACAGACGACTAATTCTCTTCATCTGTGGTTTGAAGCACGCCATGTTTTTTTTTCTTCTTCTTATTGGCGATATATCACAATTGTCTTTCGTTATTTCTTTCTTTCATTCTTTCTTTCCAGCTTCCTTTATTATATATTTTTCTTGTTTTTAACCTTTTCAATTCGTACTCAGCAGTTTATATTGCTTTTATTTCTTTTTTGTTGAAATATCCATTTTTTTTTCATAATTGCGTTTCATTATTTTTATGATTCATTTTAAATTACTGTTGCGCTGATTTTACTTTTATTTATTACTTTTTCTATCCTTATTTTTCTTTCTTTTTTCTTTATTTTCTTTCTTTTTTCTTCATTTCCTTTACCCTTTTTCTATCCTTATTTTTTCTTTCTTTTTTCTTTATTCTTTTTATTTTTCTTTATTTACTTTAAACTTTTTCTATTCTTTCTTTTTTTTTCATTACTATTCTTACTTTCTTTCTTTTTCCTGGTGTATTTATTTTCATTCTATATTTTCTTTCATTTTACCATTACTTTTCTTTCTTTCCCCTAGTTTTTCTTTCACTTAGTTTTTCTTTCAGTTATTTTTCTTTCACTTCTTTATTTATTTACCCAATTTTTCTTTTTTTCCATTACGTTTCTTCCGTGCACGTTTTCTTTCTTTCTTTCTTTCTTTCTTTCTTTCTTTCTTTCTTTCTTTTGTCTGTCTGTCTGTCTTTCTCGCTTTTTTCTTCACTTGCTTATTCTTTGCTACCTCTTCCTTTTCGATTTTCATCATCTATCTTCTTTTGTTATTGCCTCGTTCTGATTTTTGTGCGCCATTTGTACAGACGCTTCCGAACGAGACCAACCATATCAAAAAGAAGTAAAACGTATTAATTCCAGTTATACTCTCTGTTAATTAATCATTCACACATCATACATCATGTAACCTTTTCGTCGTCCAACGCCTACCAAACAGTGATAGTTCACAAGTTAATTTCACAGACAATCGATAGGATATTGAGTTCGATTTTCATTAAGTTCGGCGTTCGTGTGGTCTATTGTATAAACTGAACCTCGCTACTATTTGTTGGAACGTGAAGAAATTGGTTGGAATCTTGTACGAATCATTGTCCATCCCAATGCTTTTATTTAGTGTTATTTATAACCATAGCCTTTACTTCTCTTCTCTCTTTTCTTTCTTTTATTGTTTATTTACATTTTATTTGCCTCTAAATTTTGGTTGTTGAAATAAAGTTTATTAGATTTAATTTAATGGATTGTGTTGATTATGTGTCTTACGTAATATAAAAGGAAGTTATCTTTGTGTCTTCATTTATAAATGAGTTCTGATATTTTCTTTAGAAGTTTGTACTTCGTACCTTTTCTTCATCGTCATCATCATTATCATCATCATTCGACCTCGCTTTTGTTGGTCGAAACTCCATTGACATTCCCTTTCCACACTGTTCGATCCTGCATTGCTGTCCCCAGATCCCCAATGTTTAACCCTGAGTCCCGTATATATATATATATATATATATATATATATATATATATATATATATATATATATATTGCTTCATACCTTTGCCATTCGTAATCATCTTAAGAACATTAATAATATTACACTTCTATATTGAAAGCTTTCAAATTTTTGTTCAGTTCATTGCTCATTCCTGATATTATTTTATTTTGCAAGTTCCATGTTTTAAAATTTGATAAACTTTTCAAACATGTTTCTTCTAATCTTTTTTTCTTTTTTTTCTTCTTTTTCATGTGATTCGCGCTGTCTTTTCTGCTTTTATAGGTAAGTTGAACCACTTTTATAAAACATGTATATGCTTTTCAAATCTTCATAATATGTGACGCTATTACTAAGCCACTCAACAAGTACCTTAGGCGTGGTGTAATGGTTAGCAATCTTGTCTCGCTAGATCAATTACGACTGATTAGTGAGTTCGATCCTCACTGGGTACCCCATACTCTCGACCTTGTGCCGCATCTAAGCTGCGCTTAGAAAATTATAGACACCTCTGGGTGGTGTAATGGTTAGCAAGCTTGTCTCGCTAGAACAATTACGTCTGAATAGTGAGTTCGGTCCTAACTGGGTGTCCCATATATTTTCCTTGTGCTACATCTAAGCTAGGCTTTGAAAATCTCTACTGGCCGCCTCGAGGTGGTGTAATGGCTAGTAAGCTTGTCTCGCTAGAACAATTACGACTGAGTAGTGAGTTCGATCCTCACCTTGCCCCCTACTTTCGGCCTTGTGCCACATGTAAGCTACGCTTAGAAAATCACTATTACTAAGCCAATCATAATGTGTGAAGTGTGGAAATTTTATTTAAATTCCCACGTCATTTTGAAGGCTTATCCTTCACATTGCGATGTCTACAACCAGACAAAAAGAAAATCCTGTGTGGGAAATGCATTGATTTCTCCAAGTTTTTTTTTTTTTTTGTATTATTTGGATGTACGTGAATGTTGTCCGTCTCACGAAAATTTTATTCATAAGAATTGGGCTTTAAGAAAATATCTTATATAATCAACATATTGCATGTAATACGATGGTGTTTTATTAATATAGTCCCCACGGAAATTAGCCAAACTTCTAAATAAAAATTAAAAAAAAAAACCTTTTTAGAACGTTTCGGCTGCAGCCATCCTCAGGTCACAGCTTGTAAGAAACAAGAAGAGTCAAATCTGTTGATTTTACGATATGTTAACTCTTGTTAGATTATATAATATCAAATTTCGTGTCCGACATCCTGTAAAGATTAACCAGTCTAGCCACGCTAACCATTACTCTACGCCCACTATAAGAGCCTATGTATCTAGAATGATACAGCATAGAGAAACCAATTGCGTCAATTATACTGATCGGACCAACTCATTCTCAGCAACACGTATTAAACCGATGATTCCATTCTCACCCAATTGTGTCATTCTACACGGTGATTGAAAAGTGACTCCTTATTTTATTTATCATGGATTCTCCCGTCTTATAAAGATTATAGCTAGATGGGAGAGTCCATCATACATAAAATAGGGAGTTACTATTCAATTACTCTGTACATTTATTTACGCGAGAAATCTCCCGTATTTTTTCATTTCACCATGTTTTACGTATTTTTAAATTTTTGGAAAAATATATCTCCTCTCTTACATTAGGCAATATATATACCTAGAGAAGGCAGAACAATCGATCGGCCGAAGCAACAAAAGCAACATTTGAAAGCATGCTTCTTGATAAAATCACGAATCCCGTAACCCAATTGGGTTATAGGGACAGTACATGTACTACAGCCGTAGCAACAGTCTTGGGCAAACTAGCCTGACGGACGTTAATTCTCTCTGGGTTGAATTCAGAGTTTTCCTTCTAAACCATGGCTATAGGACTCAGTCTGTCCGGCTATTTACCCAAATTTGGAAGGAGAAGAGATAAATTCATAACATTCCCAGGGCGATTAGCACATAAGTGAATATAATGAACTCAACTTGAGTTTGAACTCGGTTGTACAATTTCTCATTCCGAGCCGCTATCTACTACACCACCCACAAAAACACTTGTAGTGATAATTTTACACCACTATAATACTACAGTGCATCCTTGGTTCTCGAACGTCTCACATGTTGAACAAATCGATGCCTCGTTTATCGAACAAAATCTCCGTTCTCGAACAACATTATCAAGCCGAACCGAGTTAACCCGAACGGAATCCTTTCTTAGTCGACCGCCATTTTGTATACATTCGTGTGTTGTGCTGTGCTTTTCTTTCCCAATTTTATTGTACTTTACTTTTTTCTTTCTCTTCATTAGTCCTCAGTCATGGCTCCAAAGAAAGCGAGCAGTGATACTTATAAAGGAAAAAGAAAAGTTAAGAGAAAAACAATTGTTGATAATATTGTCTCTATGATGATGATATTGTTTCTTCCTACTCAGTTTCATATGGTAAAATCAATGATCTATACTCTTCTTATAAATAAAGAGACGATCATGTCTTTCCTTCCCCTTTTCCAAACAATAACATCTCTTTCCTTTCTTTTCCACTTACGCCATCAACTCTCCTACATACAGGTACGATAAAATTAAAGCGTTTGCCTATATTTTATCTGTTTAGCATCGTTTTTTCTTCTTTTTTCTTAGATTTAATGATTTTCATTAGTTTACGTATAAACTTGTTCACAAAGTACTGTTGTTAACGTTTAAATAAGCAATCATCTGGGGGACCAAGAACGGATTAATCCATTTTACATTGATTCCTATTGGAAAAATAGTTTCTGCTTACGAACATTTCGACTTACGAATGAGCTTCAGGAACGAATTAAATTCGTGAACCGAAGTTCCACTGTATATTGTTCATCAAATATCTTCATTAAACTGTCACAGTGCCAGTCGAATTTTCATGTCAGTATATTTTTTAGAAAAACATGAAGGATTCTTTTGACATTACAAATTTTATATCGCCAAATAGATAAAAGGGATGCTGATCGAATGAAAGAGACTCCATAGGATCGGTGTATTTCAATTCGTCCGTGTTATTTGCAGACAGCTGAGCTTGGACGAATTAACAGCATGCGTTCGGTGATCGGACCTCAAATACGAGTTACATAGCACTTCGACATTTTCTGTGAGAATAGTAACTGGCTAATCCTGAGTAAATATTTATAATACTCAAGGCGGCAACTATTGCAAGCCATTTTCAATCGATGCTAAGTTGAAGGAATTGGCTTACGGCCATATCACGTTGAAACACCTGTTCTCGTACGATACCCGAAGTTAAGCAACGTCGAGTCTCGTCAGTATGTAGGTGGGTGAACGCTTGGAAATATTGGTGCTGTAACTTTGGATCTGCAGGGGTGTAATGAATAACGACTCGGAATTGAAAATCGGAGAGTTGTGTTCACATTCCAGTCGGTTCGTTCTATTCATTTACACGCAGAGACCATTGGGAAAGGTATGAATCAACCTCTCCACTCCCATCTATGGGTTAAATAGTATTCCACTCCTATTATGGGAAGATTTGTATTATGTAAGCTCTAGCTGCACTTTGTCAGGTGAAACTATTTTTAACGCGTTGTCCTCACACTGTATCATATGTTAACGCTATTGTAACTTTATGTACCTTTTTCTTATTAACTCTTTCACCCCAAACAAGGAAATAAAGCCACTAAGATACAAGTGGGTTACTGAGTATTATAGGATGTAAGAGAAATATGCGATTAAGGAAAGCGGACAATTAAAGAACAAGAATTAAGATGACAGAAGATAACGATTGACATTGCATTTTATTTTTTGAATATCAAAGTTGACTTGGAAACCGGAAGAGAGTTCCACAAGCAGGAAGTGAAATGGAAGAAAATGTTAGCATAGAACTTACGGTTGCATCTAGCCATTTCAACTGTAAGATGAGACCTTACCGTCAATATTGCGATTAAATTCTTAAAATCTGGGTACCGAAGATGAAAGCTCATCAGAACAATAACCATGAAAGTATTTTCTGAAAGGGGGCCGCGAAGCTGCGTTACGCCAGGACAGAACCAATAACATTGCAGATTCATCTTTGAAATTTTTATCAATAATCTCTAAATATATATCAGGGACACCGGACCATAGGTGACAACAATATTCAAAGCATTGACGAATGGGAGACTTATAAATATATGATAGATTCTGGTGAGAAAAATTGTTTGGCACGATACAATTCTTTCACCGTATGGTGAGTTTTCGCCCCACTGGAGTGACGGGGTATAATCGATTTCTATTTTTCTTCCGATTAGGTCATTTGCAGTGGTGTGCAGTAATATGAATTTATTTTGGTGGTGTATGATGACATTTTTTGGTTTTGAAAAATATTGCATCATCCGCGATTTCATCAAATTTTTATCGCACCCAGACATTCTTGTCTCGACTGTCGATTAGTTGTCCTACGCCCACTGTCTGTGATGGACGTTACTCCAAGGAAGCGTACGATAATTGTAATGCTGCACAATCACACTAACAAGCCTTACAAGTGAGCAAATCAAAGCACTATATACTGGCTCGGAAATTCTCCTGATTTAAATCCAGTCGAGGATCTGTTGTCAATCTGCAAGGAACGACTGCGTGGAATGGACATACGAACTACTAACATGAGCACTGGGCCATGTTTCATTGGAAAATACGAAAAAAGTAAATGATAATGGAATTATTCGTTTTGCTTCAATTAATTTACACAAGAGTGAGTCTACATTTATCAAAATCTCTTATATATTTTTTTTATTATAAAAGTTTGTACTTATATCTTTTCTCTAGTTTTGGTTTACTAAAATGCTTTATGGCTTTTAGTAAAAAAAAAAATCTACTAGATCAATGATTCTCAACGTGGGGCGCATGCTCCATCGGTGAAGCATGGTAATATTTTGGTGGGGCATGCGTAGGATGTGCACCCTTCGGCTTACTATACCAGAAGAATAAGAGGGCAATTTGAGAATCAGTTATTAACAATGGATTGTTTATCAGTGAGTCTTAGTGAGAGTGTTAATGTTAATTCGTCTTAATACATACGATGCATATACAGCATGCATACATAAAAATATTTTGTGTGTATGTATGTACATGTGTAATTGGCATGCAGGGTATTTCCCGTCTCCCCACACTCACGTGTCTTGGTCAACAAAGGAGAGGGCGTGATGTCGCTGGAAGAGCCAAATGTTTTGTCGACCAATCAGCGCGTGTGAGCATTCAGTTTGCTTCCTTCACGTGAATTGCAGTAAAATTTCGAATATGTAAGATATTAAATATTACAAGGGTGGTGGCAGCAGAATTTTAGAAATACCAAAGTGGGTCCAGGCCCCAATTCAGTTGGGAACCACTACTCTAGATGAACATAACTTCGTCTTCAGAGTCTTGATTGCAGTAAGGCATTGATCAAACTGTCGGAAGTACGCATGGCCGCAAGCGTGTCGAATACGCACCGGGAGGCAGAACAACTGCTTATTTCAGAAGCTGCGCACGTACTTATCTCTAAATATAATCATTTAATATGTACACTACAGACAAAAATTTGGGGTCACCCTGCACTTCTTAAAAAAAAATTAATGATATATTTTTGTATTCTTTTAAAGTAAAATATAAAATTTCAGCAATACAGTATGTTTAATTTTATTCTTCAGTCTTTCTCCAGGTTCCATTTTCTATCAAAATGTCTAAATTTGGTTTCGTCTTCATGGTGGTCTTATTGACGAAAACAAAATATGATTTTGTTGTATGCGATACGGTGAAGAATCAAGAACCTAGTTCGAATTCTAGTCGAATCCATTACATTCACTTATGTGCTAATACCCTTGCGAAAGGTATGAATCCTTTTCTTCTCCCCCCCCCCACCAGCTATGAGTAAAGAGCATAACAGACCGGGTTCTATAGCCTTGGATAGCAACTGGTCTACCGCAGAAAGATAATGTCAACCTACTGCGGGGAAAAATCTGCCGCGCCAGTCAAGTATCAAAAGAATCGCCTAGGTGTGTATCAGGCATGGCACATAACTGACTGACAGAAGAGAATAAAAAGGGGTTAGAAGTAGAAAAAAGAAATAGAGAAAGAGAGAGGGTGGAAAAAAAAGAAAAAGGAGGCAAAATAGGTGAGGAGAAAAGAGTAATGGAATGAAAAAGAACTGAAAAAAACAAGAAAGAAGAAAAGCAAATAGAAGTGGAAATAAGAAGAAGAAAAAAGAAAGAAAGCTAAGAAAATAAAGGAGGCACGGTTGAGTAATGGATAGTGGCTCTAGTTAAGGAATTGGAGAGCAGAGTTCGAATTGCAGTTAAATCCATTACATTCACTTATATGCTAATACCCTTGGGAAAGGTATGAATCCTCTTCTTCTCTCTCCCCCCCCCCGAGCTATGGGTAAAGAGCAGGACAGACCGGGTTCTATAGCCTTGGATGGCAACTGATCTACCGCAAAAAGATAATGGCAACTTACTGCGGGGAAAAAATCTGCCTCGTCAGTCATGTATCAAAAGATACATAATCGTGTGACTGATTTCTTTTCGTCAAAATAAAAACAAATACAGTTGAGTTTGTGAATTTTTATCTTTTATTTTTAAAAATTACAAAAATTAATTTTAAGTTTTTTTTGTTTTTGTTTTTTTTTTTTTTTAAGAAATTCAGGGTGGTCCTAAACTTTTTGCCTGTAGTATATGTAAATTTTGAAAAAAAACAAAAAAAACTCACCGTTGGGTATACGGCCACACCCCCATGACGTTAGATATTGCTACTGTGGTTTTCGTTTCAAATAGGTTTGGTACGGTTTTGAATCCAGAATTGTCTTTCTCCTAGACTGGTTACCAACTGAGGCTTAGATGGAAGGAAGAGATGCATGCATACCTTTCCAAGGGTAACTGTGTGAAAGTGAACGCAACGTTATTGGCCGGAATATGAACTTGGCCGGCCAATCCTACTTCATACACCACATAACCGCTTCACTACCCGCACATCCATTCGTCTTCTGTAACTCAGTTATATTATCAGCACGTTTAATCTTGAGTAAATCGAAACATTATTTACCGCCAGTATAGATTTATGTATACTACCACCTCCTGTTTTTTTTTTGTTTTTTTTTTTTGCCATTTCTCCTTTGGTTTTCTGTTATTGCTCTCTCTCTCTCTTTTTTTTTCTTTCTCTTTCTCTCTCTGATATTGTATTTGGTTCTTTTCTTCTTTCTTTTTGTTTTTCCTCCTTTTCCTCTTTCTCCTCCTCCAACCCTTCCTTTCCCACCTTTTTTTAAATTTCTTCTTTGTTTTTGTTATTGCTCTCTCTATAATAATCTATTTATTTCATTTTCTCCTTTTTTTTTTGTTTTTCCTCCCCTTCATCCATCTCCTCCTCCCACCCTTCCTCTTCCTTCTTTTCCATTTCTTCTTTGTTTTTGTTGCTGCTCTCTCCTCTCTCTATAACTTTATTTGGCTCTCTCTCATCTTACGTTTGCTTTTCCTCCTTCTCCCCCCACCTCCGTTTTCATTTCCTATTTGCATTTGTTATTACTGCCGCTATAATTCTTCTTCATTTGGCTCTTTTGCTCTTTTCTTCTCTCCTTTTTTTTCTTCTTTCCTCTTCCTCCATTTCTTTTCTTTTCTTTTCTTCTTTGTTTTTGTCGCTAAAAAATATTTATCTGGCGCCATTTCTCCATTTTTTTTTCTCTTTTCACACTCTTCCTCTTTTTTTTAACAATTTTTTTGTCTGTCTTTGTAACTGCTGCCGCTACAATTTCTTCCCCTTTCTATTATCTTTTTCTCCTCACCTTTTTTATTATTTTTTTTATTTATTTATTTTTTTTGCTTTTCTTCATTGTTTCTGTTAAGGTAGCCACTAGAAATTATTTGGTTGACTCTTTTTCCTGTAACTGTTTTTCTTTTTCTTATTTTTTCTTAATTTGTCTCTTTTTTCTTTTCTTTCTCTATTTCGTTCTATCTCTAGATTTTGTCTCATTCCAGAATTCTTTTTTTTTTCTCTCTCTTACTGCTAGTAAATATTGCTTGCCTTTCCACTTTATCGTTTTACCTCCACCATGCCTGTTTCCAAACGACCCTCACCACGCCAGCAGTTCAGGCCAACCGACCGACTGCCATCTTTGCTTCATTTTTATCGTATACAGTCGTCGTCACTTCGCTCATTAACAATGTATTGTACAGCTTTAGGGACAGACGAAGACTGCAGCGGCTGAGCAAATGGCGTGAACTGAAGATAATGGCTGCAGCGGGCAGGATTTTAGTTGGGACGCCCTGTTTGGTAAAACGGCAAGGGATGCTCGGAGACAAGGCTGGGTTTTGTGCACAATGGATGGAACGGTGAGGTTGGGTGTCTGGG